CTAGCTCACAATGTGAAATGTCCTGGGAGCAAAATCGATGAATGTTGGCATTCAGAAACATCGTGGGGGTGTTTTTGGGGCCCTCGTGTGCCGTTTTGGCGCCTTCATGGGCCGTCCTGGGGCCTTCTTGGGCCGTCTTGGGGAGCTTGGGCCCACTGGAGCCCCCTTTGGACCCATCTTGGGCACTTCCGGGGACCTCCCATGGCCCTTTTGGGTCTGTGCTGGGAGCCCTTGGGGGGCCTCTTGGTTCCATTATGGGCTGTCTTGGGGCTCTCGTGGGCGATCGTGGGGCCCGGCTCGGCCGTCTTGAAGCTTTCTAGGGGGCCTTTTGGGGCGTCTGGAGGCGATCTCGGGGGCTTTGAAACCATCTTGAAAGCTAATGAAACCCGGAAGGCGAATATGCTAAACTTGTAAGTTTTACGAAGGGAATGGGACGATTTTTGTGGTTTGAAGGCCCCTTGGAATGATTTTTGGGGTGCCTTGGGGATCTTTATGTTGGCATTCGGAAACATCGTGGGGGTGTTTTCGGGGCCCTCGTGGGCCGGTTTGCGCCTTCATGGGCCGTCCTGGGGCCTTCTTGGGGAGCTTGGGCCCGCTGGAGCCCCCTTTGGACCCATCTTGGGCACTTCTGGGGACCTCCCATGGCCCTTTTGGGTCTGTGCTGGGAGCCCTTGGGGGGCCTCTTGGTTCCATTATGGGCTGTCTTGGGGCTCTCGTGGGCGATCGTGGGGCCCGGCTCGGCCGTTTTGAAGTCTTGTCGGGGGTCTTTTGGGGAGTCTGGAGGCGATCTCGGGGGCTTTGAAACCGTCTTGAAAGCTGATGGAATCCGAAGGGCGAATATGCTAAAATTGTAAGTTTTACGAAGGGTATGGGGCGATCTTTGTGGTGTGAAGGCCCCTTGGAATGCTTTTTGGGGTGCCTTGGGGGTCTTTATGTTGGCATTCGGAAACATCGTGGGGGTGTTTTCGGGGCCCTCGTGGACCGTTTTGGCGCCTTCATGAGACGTCCTGGGGCCTTCTTGGGCCGTCTTCGGGAGATTGGGCCCACTGGAGCCCTCGTTGGACCCATCTTGGGCACTTCCGGGGACCTCCCATGGCCCTTTTGGGTCTGTGCTGGGAGCCCTTGGGGGGCCTCTTGGTTCCATTATGGGCTGTCTTGGGGCTCTCGTGGGCGATCGTGGGGCCTGGCTCGGCCGTCTTGAAGCTTGCTTGGGGCCTTTTGGGGCGTCTGGAGGCGATCTCGGGGGCTTTGAAACAGTCTCGAAAGCTGATGAAATCCGAAGGGCGAATATGCTAAAATTGTAAGTTTTACGAAGGGTATGGGGCGATCTTTGTGCTTTGAAGGCCCCTTGGAAAGCTTTTTGGGGTGCCTTGGGGGTCTTTTGGGCCGTCCTGACGCAATTGGAGTCCCTCTTGGAGCGCTCTTGTGCTGTCTGGGGCCTCCCTTTGGCCATTCTGATGACCCCTCGGATCGCTCTGGGTCTGCTGCAAGGCGTTTGTGGAGACCCGGACAGACGGGTGACCTTTTCCAAGGACGTCCAAGGGAGCCCGAGAACCCCAGATCCCGGGTTCCAGTTTCTTTTGGAGGGGTGAGGGCTTCCCCCCGGGCTTGTAAAACTATAGGAAGAGGCATGCATATATATATATATATATATATATATATATATATATATATATATATATATATATATATACACATACATACATACATACATGCATGCATGCATGCATGCATGTATGTATACATACATACATATATGCATGCATACATACATACATACCTACATACACACATACACACATACACACATACATACATACATACATACACACATACATATCTACATACATACAACCATACATATATACATACATACATACATACATACATACATACATACATACATACATACATACATATATACATATATATACGAACATACATACATATGTATATGTATACATACATACATACATGCATACATACATACATGCATACGTACATACATACATACATACATACATACATACACGCATATCTACATACATAACTGCATATACACATACATGCATGCATGCATACTAACTATCTTACAACCAGGAACACAAAGATAGCTTACGCGCCGCAGGACTATCTTACAACCAGGGCAAGCGCGCAGAGGCATGCTGAGCTCGCTGTGGAGCGCAACACGTGTCATGGGCGGCCGCACTTGGCGGGGGGCGACACGCGGGCCACTGTGGCCTTCGGTGGGGCCCTGACGGAACCACGGACCGTGTGACGGGTGCGCCAGACGAGCGGGGGGACGCCACGCGGAGCCTGCCGCTGGGGCCTTCGGCGGAGCTCCCCAAGGAACCAAGAAGCGCGAGGGGTGAGTCGAAATGGGAGAAGGGGGCGCCGTGCGGACCCTGCCATAGGAGCATTCGGTGCGAGGTGGGGGGGCGATCTACGGACATACCCATTGGAGTTCCCTCTGAGGCCACAACGCGCGCAACGGATGCGCCGCACGGGGCGGAGGGGCGCCGTGCGAGCACCGCCTCTGGGGCATTCGGTTGAGCTCCCCATGTGGCCACGAATCTTCCGAGGGTGCGCCGAAACGGGCGGGCGGCATGCGTCTCGCAGCTCGACGCACAGCGCGCCCCCATCTGCCCCTGCGACCTGCAACGGCCACCGAACCCACTTGGCCCAGCGCTGGAGACTGGCAAACGGCCAGCGCCTCGACAGGCAGCCCGACACAGGCCCGCCAGGCACCTGCACGCGCGGGCTCAGAGAGAAACGAGCCACACGCACATGCGCCCGCTCATGAGAATGGCCCCAGGCATCGCAAACACACCACGAGGCCGTGAATAATGCGCAACCGGTGCCCTGCTTCGCCCGCGGCATCCAGCGAGCCAGGCCCGCCGGGGCCCTCTGTCGTCTGCCGCGCCCCGACCATGAACGCCGCCTGGCTGTCTCCGCAGCTGTCTCCGCATCACCCTGTTCCCCCGAAGGGGCGCGGGATCTGCCAGGCCCGCTGCCAGGCCGCCAGACCGCGCGCGCCGCCCGGCAGCTTCAGCCTGGCCCCCGCCGCACTCGCGAGGGCCCGCGGGCAGCGCGCCTGCGCCAGCGCCGTCATCACGATCGCCGTGCTTCTCCGTCAGCAGCTCGTCCCCGCGCGCCTTCGCAGCCGCCAGCGCCGCCGCCGCAGCCCCGGCGGGCCGAAGAGCAAACCGCGCTGGCCGCTGCGCGGATCGGCTGACCACCTCGCGAGGAGCGCGGGCCTCCGCCACTCCTGGCTTCGCGAAAAACTCGCGGGCGCTCCCTTACCTTGGCCCGAGAAGAATTGGACAAGGCGCCCTTGGCCTGATCGAATACCTCGCTGGAGAGCTCCGCCCGCGTTTAGGCCTCGCTGGGGCTGTACGTAGCGCACGAGGGTGGCTGCGGACTGCTGCTTCCCGAGCGCGACCAAGGCTGACGCTGCCCTTGGTACCACTGCTTGGTGTTCGCACCCTTGTTGTTGCCGGCCCAGAAGGCGGTGCCGCTTGGCGAGCATGCACCCCAGGGCTTACCAGGCTCCTGCGTTGCCCAGCAACTGCAGTTCCAGTACCCGGCCATGGCGAGACGCTCAAGACTGGCACAAGTAACAAGCAAAAAGCGAGGGTACCTGCCTAACGCTCGCTGGTGCAAACCAACAAGAAGATTGAGGGCGAGCCGCGGACTAATGGTATCCAGTTCTTTCCCTGGGAAAGCATGACCGACCTTGAGCCAAACAATGACGACGGACCCCCCCCTCTGAAGCGTTCGGCGGAGCCTCCCCTTGGGACCACGAAGCGTGCGGGTGCGTGTGTGTGTGTGACCAAATTGATGTTCCTACTATGAGGACGTTGTCATTGAGGCAAGCAGTGAGGTACCCCGTGGGGCCCCGAAACGTGCACAGGGTGTGCCGAAACATGGCGGTGGCGCCATGCGACCTGTCCCACTGGGGACTTCGGTGGAGTTCCCAACTGGGCCACAAAACGTGAGGGGTTGGGCTGAATTGGGACGGTGTTGCCATGCGATCTGTCCCAGTGGGGCAGATAGGGCGGCGTCGGCATGCGAGCGTCACACTGGAGCGTTCGTTGGAGATCTCGAAGGGGCCACGAAACGTGTGAGGGCTGTACTGAACCAGGACGGTAGCGCCATGCGATCTGTCCAACTGGGGCTTTCGGTGGAACTCCTTCTGGGGCCACGAAGCGCGTGCGGGGCTTGCCGATATTAGCATTCGGAGGGCGAAGGCAAGGAGGGGAGCGTGACGCGGAGAACGGATGCAAGGATGAAAGCGAGGGAGGAGGAGGAAGGAGGAAGAGGAGGAGGAGGAGGAGGAGTGATACACGCGACGCCGCGGATACAAAACAAGGACCCAACTCCACGCGTGAGGATTTGGAAACATGGACTGCAGAAGCGCACGCACATAAGAGTAAGTGTCGCCACCAGTTACAGCACTTCGTCACACAACAAAAACTGACAATCATCGCGATTCTCAGCTGTCAGTGCGACTTGCCCCTTTGGCATTGTCCACGCAGTGCATACGAAGCCGCGCATGCGACGGCGAACGCTCGAGCTAGTGAACAATACAAGCTCGCGGGTTCCCAAGTCGAATTCGCGACCACTTCATTATGCAAGACTTGCAATCAGATGCGCGCATTGTAGAAGGAGGGCGTTCAAGCAAATCCATCAAATGCATTTGCTGTCCAACTTGCAAAATCAACTGGGTAGAAATATTGTGCCCGCAACTTAATCAAATGAAGCCTGATCGTAGCGTCACGGGTTCGAATGAGAGAACTGGAACGGAGACCCTACAGCAATAGCGAGGCCTAATACATATTGCGACGGAGCTAGCAGCTAGACAGTGAGTCGCGGCTAGAAGACTGTGCTAGGTAATCCCAAGGCAACCTCGGGTAGCCCCTGAACATCTATCAACTAGAGATCAAGCCATTCAGGACAGAACGGAAAACAACATGTGCAACAAAGTGGAGGGGGCCGTCCTCTGTCTGATGTTTGATGATAATGGCCAACAGAACGTTGAGCAGCACCAAGAACACCTTCCCGTGCCCACGCGGGTCGCCCCCAGGCTCGAACAAAATGAGACGAGCGAACGGTTACTGCAAAACGCCCTCGCAGGCTCCGAAAAGAAACGAGCGAGAGGAACCAAGAACCCAGCGTGGTTGAACTCGGATAGTATCTAACGTCAGCATCCCTTCCCCACTGGAGCAGCCGAACGCACAGCGAGGTCCGATACCCTGAAATCATGCCCACCCCCTCCTCGTCTCCTTCTCTCTCCCCTCCTCATCCTCCTATCTCCCCATTGCCCCCAGTCCTCCTCTCCTCTCCTCCTCCCCCGCCTCCCCCCCATCCCCCTCCTCCCCACGTCCTACCCCATCCTCATCCTCCTCCTCTTGTGGCTCTGGCCTCCTCGGGCTCAAGGCGCTGGTGCCCAGCTAGCTGGGCGCGCAGCAGCGCAGCTGCGCTCCACATGGAGATCCTCGCTACGGCCGCCACTCCACCACCACCTTTTTGCACGCTCTGTGCTGTTACCCGAAACAGGTCAACGATCGAAAACGGGCAAACGCCTAAAGTTTGGCCTCGCTGGCCTGAAAGCAACAGGACGCTATGGATCGAAGAGAGTGTAGACATTCGCTTAACCCATGAACCCCCCCTTCCCTTAGTGGTCCTGGCAACGCCTCCACTCCAACTTTCTCTCCACCCCGTTTCCTCATGAGCACTCCTCTCTGCCGCCCCCCCCCCCCGGGCGGGTCGGGAGGGCGTGCTGGGCGCTCCGCCTGAAACACTTCCACACCACGGGTGATGGTGGTGAAAGCTGGAGCTCGCAGCAGCTTCACGGATGGAGGGGGATCGTTTTCAAGATGCGCATCTCGCCTTCGCGCCGCGCACGTTCGCCTGAGTCTGCAACCGCTTCACTGATGGGTGCAGGGTCGTTTTTTAAAACACGTGGCCATCGCACTGGCGACGCGAACGCTGGTCTTAAAAGCTCGCAGCAGTTCCGCAGATGCAGGGGGGGTCGTGTTCAGAATGTCGGTCTCGCCTTGGCGCCGCGCGCATTCGTCTGCAACAGCTGCAGCAACTTCACAGATAGAGGGTCGGTTTCGAAATGCGGCTCTCGCCCCAACACCGCGGACATTCGTCTGAACGAAAGGCAACTGATTCACGGCAACAGGCCGGCTTCTTTTCAGAATGTGGCTGCCGCCGAAACACCGCGCACAAACTTCCTAAAGTGTGCAACAGCTTCACGGACAGAGGGGACGTCGTCTTCAAACATGGGCTTTCGCCTTACATCCACTCGCATTCGTCTGACACTTTTGCAACAGCATCACGGATGGAGAGCCGTGCCTTTTCAAACACATGGTTGTCGTCCCAACACCGCGCACGCTCGTCGTCAAAGTTTGCAGCGGCTTCGCGGGTGAAAGGGGCGTCGCCTTCAAGCTGTGGATTTCGCCTGAAAAACAAAATGCACTTTCGTCTTAAAGTTTGCAGCAGTGTCGCGGATAGAGGGAGGTCGTTTTCGAATGTGGCTCTCGAAGTAAAAGGTTTCGAATGGTTTTCGAATGTGGTTCTCGAAGGTGGTGTTCGCGCGCATTCGTCTTAAAAGTGTCCAACGTGCTCAGCAATGGAAAACACGTCCGTTTAGAGAGAAGCTTCTCGCCTTGGCGCCGCGCGACATCGCCTTAAACGATGGCAGCAGCTTCACGGATGGAGATTCGTTTTCCTAGTGTGGCCTTCGCCTGAGCCGCGCGCATTCGTCTGACACGCTTGCAGCAGCTTCACGGATGGAGAGCACTTCCTCTTCAAACAAATGGTTTTCGCCTAGGCACCGCGAACATTCGCCTTCAACATTTGCAGCAGCTTCACGGGTGGAGGGGAGTCGTGTTCAAAATGTGTCCATCGCCGCCGCCTCAACTGTTTGCAACGCTGTCATGGATGCGCGGGGGTCGTGTCCAAACTGTGGCTGTCGCATTGGTGCAGCTCGCATTCGTCGTGGACCTTCGCGCTAGCTTCACGGATCGAGGGCGGCTCTTGTTCAAGATGGGGTTCTCGTCTGTGAGCCGCGCGTAGCCGTTTTGTAATGCAACGCTGAGCAGGATGGAGGACTGTGCTTTTGCAACATGGAACTCTCGCCTAAGACCTCGCTAAGCGTAAGGACCCGAAACTAAAAGCACGTAGCGCTGCACGGATGCACGGCGGTTCCATTTCAAAATGGAGATGTCGAGTGGTACTGCTTCGAAGTCCATGACCACACGGGTAAACTTGTGCAAGATTTGCACGCGTGGGGGGCCACCCTTCTTCGAAAGGGAGACGTCGCTGGACACCTCGTTGAACTGTGTGGTCACTGAGTCTGCTTGCGTTCCTGGCGATGCGCCAGGAGGATTCCAGGCAGTTCCTGTTCAGAGCGGGGTCCTCGCCAAAATGGTAGGCCCACATGTGTTGGTATGTCAAGGGTGCGATGGCTGCAGTGGAAAAGAGAACTTGCATGTGCGCGCGAGAAGGGTTTGGGGAACGGGAGGGTGTAGTGTAGTATCGCTTGCGCATCGTTGCTTTACTATCGTCCTCCTCCGTCTCCTCCTCCTCCCATGCCGGTTCCTCCTCCCCCATCCTCCCCCTCTACGTGCAGAAATCTAGGATAGAGTGGGTTCAAGATTGACGTTCCACGACTGAAGAGTCAGACATGTTCTTGAAGGCCTACGGGGTGCAGGATTTGGACTTGGACAGCGCGATCATGAAAACGAGTGTCATCGAATAACGAACGTTGAGGGATCAACTCCACCGAGTTCCAGGCCGTGAACGGCCTCCCAAGCTCCCTCGGATGATTGTGCAGCAGCGGCGCACTGCAAAATCAGCATCCCCCTCCAGGGCGAATGACTTCATATGTCCACCCCGCACCCCACCCTCGTCAATCCCTCGTGGGGGGGACGAGGTGCGTTAAGCTTGGTGGCTGGACCGACCGCCTCTGGTCAGCCGCAACTCACCGCTGCATCCGAAGATCGCGGGAGGACCTCAGGTGTGCGTGCGCTTACTTCCCTGACAATGCGCGTCGCCACTCGAGTCTTACGGTCACCCCGACACGTCCCATACCTCAATGATGCGCATGGCCGATGTCTTCCGCCAGCTGCCACTCCACCCCCCCTCCCTCCATGATGCGCATCCTCCCCACCCCAGTCCTCATCGCCCTCCTCCTCCGCCTCCACCTTCTCCTCCTCCTCCTCCTCCTCCTCCTCCTCCTCCTCCTTATCATCATCCGTATAGTCATCATGATCCCCACCATCGTCGTCGTCATCATCATCAGCAGCAGCATCATCAACATCAGCAGCATCATCATCATAATCATCATCATCATCATCATCATCATCATCATCATCATCATCAGCATCAGCATCATCAGCAACATCAGCATCATAATCAGCATCATCAGCATCATCCTCATCAGCGGCAGCTGCATCGTCACCAGCAGCAGTATCATCATCAGCATCAGCATCATCATCGGTTTCGTCATCGTCATCATCAGCATCATCAGCATCAGCATCACCAGCAATCAGCACCATCATCACCAGCATCCGCATCATCATCGGTCTCGTCATCAGCATCATCGTCAGCAGTATCCCCATCAGCATAATCATCATCATCATCCACAGTATCAGCATCAGCACCATCATAACTACCAGTATCATCCTCAGCAGCATCGTCAGCATCGGCATCATCATCAGCATCATCACCATCACCTTCATCAGAGTCAGCAGTATCATCAACATCACCAGTAGCAGCAGCACCATCATCGTCATCAGCAGCATCATCATCAGCAGTCGCATCTGCATTACAAACAGCAGCCGCAGCAGCAACAGCCTCATCGCCATCCACAACAAGACTAGCATCATCTGCAGTATCAGTAGCAGCACCATCATCATCAGCATCATCAGCATCATCATCAGCATCGTCTTCATAATCGTAATCGTCGTCAACATCGTCATCGTCACCATACTCATCAGTATCATCAGCATCATCAGCAACAGCATCAGTATCCTCATCGTCTTCATGATCATGATCATCAGCACGTCCACTCCCACCACCATCATCAGCAGCACCAGCATCATCATAATCATCATCAGCAGCATCAGCAGCATCGGCATCAGCATCATCAGCATCATCGTCAACAGCATCATCAGCAGCAGCATCAAAGAAACACCAATGACCACATCAACATCAACACTGTCATCGTCATCACCATCATCGCAATCGCCATCGCAATTGCCATCACCATCATCACCATCAACATCAGCAAACCTCAACCGCCTCATCAACATCATCATCATCCGCAGCAGCATCAACATCCTTACCGTTATCATAATCGTCAGCATCCTCATCCTCATCATCAACAGCAGAACCATCATCACCATACTGGTCATCAACATCCTAATCATCATCGTCACCATCGACATCATCATCAACACCTCCCAATCGACAGGCTGGTACTGCCTCCTGCTCCTGCAGTGTGGAGCAACCGACATGAAGCGCAGAATCTGATTCAGCAAGATTCGTCGAACGAGCCCCAACGGGACCCTCATAGGCTCCCAAGAGGGCCCCAAAGAGGCCCCCAGGAAGCCTTCAAGACACCTTCAACAGGGAGGAGCCAAAAGGGTGGTGGCAGTGGAGGAGGACGAGGAGGAGGCGGAGGAGGAGCGGATGCAAACGCAACAGCTTTCAGCTTAGGTCGGTCTCAAAAAAGAGCGGATGAGGAGGAGAACAAACGGAGGAGAGAAGGAGCTAAAGGACAGCTGCGGAGGAGAAGCGGAGGAGAACGAACAGGGAGTAAGACAGCGGAGGAGAAGGAGAACAACGCCGCAGGCAAGAAGGAGCGTTCAAGGCCCGCGCCAGCTCAGACAGGGTAATCAACTGGAGCGTGCCGCACCCACAACCTGTCTCCTGCTGAGCTCCCGCCCTGTCACGATTGCGGGTGTTGGCGCGGGCTGCTGGATACACAAATCACGATGGGAATCAAGAGGCATCGTGTTAGAATCCACGTGTGTGTGTGTGTGGGTGCGCATGGTGCTGCATAGAAAAAGAAGTTGTGCTGTTAATGTACGTTGCGTGTCTGGGGCTCCAGGAGCAATCGCATCGAATCCCACTCCATCCTCCGAGGGCGAAGGGCGAGCAGCTGAAAGGCCCAAGATCGAGCTAGCTGTTTGCAAATCATCCCTTCGCGCCTGACCAGGTGCAGGGAAGGGAGGGAAGGAGGAGGGAGAGGAGGGGAGGTAGGGCAAAGATGAGAGGAGGGAGGACGGGGGCACGCAGGGAGGGAGGGCGAGATGGAGGCGAGGAGGGTCACGAAGGGTCAGCTGCCAGGCACATCTCGAGGTGGAGCCCTGGAGCCCTGACGCACGTCCTCTGGGCCACCCCACATCACGAGAGGTCTCTGGCCCTAGGCTTGCGGAAGAGGCCCGTGGGGCACTCAGGATCTTCAACTCTGTGGCAGCACGGGGCGCTTTCTGCGCGATAAGCCGCGGCTTGGGGCACTCCCTCCCCCTCCCCGCGCCCTGTGGCCAGGCTCACCCCAGACTCTCTCCAAGAGGTGCCCCAGCGACGCCCCTCCTTGCGGGGCAGTATGGGACAACCAGCACCGCCCAGACATAACCCCAGGTGATCTCTCAAGTTGCCATCCTCCTCTTGCTGCTGCGGCCTCCAGCTGGGGAGGAAAACTGAAGCTCCTCGAGGCTCCTGCCCACCGCCCAAGCACTGATGGATAGGACTAGTTGGCCCAGAGCAAGCCTGAAATCCCTCCCAGGCCATTCTTGTATTAAGCCAGGCGTGTCCCCCTACAGGGGGGTTTTGGACGAAAGGTAAAAAAAAATACCCCAAACATATTCGAACATAGCAAAGAACACTCAACAAATAATCCGCAGACTATTTTTTGACTAGTTTTGAATATTCCTCCTGTAGAGGGACAGGCCCGACTGAAGACTAGTTGGCCCAGAGCAAGCCTGAAGTCCCTCCCAGGCCGTCCTTGCAGCCCGAAACCTCCCAGCGTGGCACGAGGGCCTCCCGAAGGTCGACCTGCAACATCGGGGCTCTGACACCGCGGGTGAGGCTCCGGCGCCGGCACACCCCCCAGCGCCAGGAACATGTAGGACGCGAACCACAAGAACACGATGATGACCGGAATGCCCGAGGGCATGTAGGCGGTCTGGGCGCCGCGCGGGATCAGGAGCAGCAGCCGAACTCCCTCCGCACCGCCCTGCCCGAGGACCCGAGAGAAGCCATTTGCGCGCCTTGGGCGCGGCTTGATGGGGGGGGTCACAAATGGGGGGGTCAGAAAAGGGCCCCTTTCGTACCCCTTTCGGGCCCCTCCAAAGCCCCAGGGGGGCTCGTTTAGGTACCGTTTGGGTACCTTTTCGGACCACACTCGCCGCCCCCCCATTTATGATCCTCCCCCCATTACGCAGCGCCCAAGCGCCCACCCTTGAGAGCCCGCCGGGAGAGAGAGAGGGAGAGAGAGAGAGAGAGAAGGGGAGCGGAGGGGCAGCGAACCACGAGGGCTGACCCGCCGTGGCCGCGCTAACGGCGATGCTGGCTAATGGCGATGCTGGGAATCTGATGTTCGTGACACCGAGCTCGCGCAGGACAGCTGGTAGGAAATCACGAGCCACGCGCTCCTAGATGTCGACCGTGCGACTGCACCGAGCGAGCACGACGCCGCGAAGTGCAGGACAGCGGGCGAGCCACGATGTCCTCCGATTGCCTTGGCAACGAGCCAGCCCCACCTGCAATGCCGAAACAGAACCTGCACCGCCGCTGCCTCCATTGCCGTGTTAGCGCGACTGCGGGTGACTAAAACAGGGCTAGGATCGGGATAAATCGCTCCAGAGCGTTCCGGAGCGCTCTCAGAGCGTTCCGGAACGCTCTGGCGCGGCCGCGGCGCCCAATACATCCTCCAAACCCGTCGATTCTCAGAGATTTCGAGTGATCCCGATCCGATTTTGTCCCGATCTTCGCGTCGTTTTAGTGACCCCAGCGCGCCATCCACAGCCTCGCCCACGCCGCCATCGACCCGCCACGACGCCCCGCCTCCCAGGGCGCGTGGGGGGGCCCTTCCTCGGGTGCTCGGGGGAGCCCGGCCCCACCTGCCATGCCGAAACACAACCCACACCGCCGCTGCCTCCACTGCCGTGCTAGCGCGACTGCGGGCGAGCCCAGCGCCCTCCACAGCCCCGTCCACGCCGCCGTCGACCCGCCACTGACTACCTACCAGACCACCCCAACCCAACCCGAAGACCCGAATTTCGGGTTGGGGGGGGTAAGGCTTCCACGTGTTTTTTCTATGTTCCCCGACCCCCCCCACTGGAAATGGAGGGCAAATCGTGGCCTTCGGGTTGGGTTGGGGTGGTTTGGTGGGCGGTGAGCCCGCCACGACACCCCCGCCTCCCAGAGGCGCGTGGCGGGGGGCCCTTCCCCTCCGGCGCTCGGGGGAGAGCCCGGCCTCTCCTCCCATGGCTCCCCCGCGGCCCCCTCTCGGCGGTCCGAGGCGGGCGGCGGGGTTCGAGGCCCCCACTGGCCATCGCTCGGACGTCCATTCCCAAAATGGTCAAGGATTTTTTCGCCAAAAAATCAAGGATTCTCAAATCGCCTCATGGTCAAATCGCCTCATTCTCAAATCGCCTCCCGGTCAAATCACCACGATTTGCGTGGTTTTTTCGCCAAATGATCAAGGATGCTCCTCGAGGGTCCTCGCCGAAGGAAAACTGCACACGTCCCAGCGCTGCCAAGCCCAGAGGGCGGGGCTGAGCCCAGGCTCGGGGGCCTGCTGACCCCGGTCAGTCCAGACCCGGGTCGGTCCGGCCTGGCAGAGTCCTGCAGGCTCCTGCAAGATCCGGCACCCAAACCAGGGTCGATACGACGGATCCTGCAGGATCCTGCACCCAGGCCCGGGTCAGTGTGACCCAGGCCCTGCAGGGTCCTGAAGGATCGGGCGCTCTGGCGGACCCCCGTTTGCATCGGCCCCCGTCTCCCGAGTCTCGACTGGCGCGAGAAGCGGGGACTCCCAGGGGAGGCCAGGAACAAGGAAGAGCGGCACCACCACCAGCAACGCTGAAGTCTGGCATGGCCTCCTGCAGGCGGATGCTGGACAGAACGAATAAAAACTGGTCCAAAAAATAACCAACAAAATGGGCAAACGTAGTTGACAAATCGTTTGAGCATTCCTCCCGTAGACGGGCAGGCCCGACGTAAAGCCAGGGGGGGCGCGGCGCTCCTGGTGGTGTGGCCCCCCTGCCCCGCCCGGCATCGTGGACCTGCTTCTATCTGGTGGCGGACCCCCCGCTGGTGGTGGTGTCGCCCTTCCCCCTCCTCCCAGTGCAAAGGGGCCCAGGGACACACGCAAACAGACAGGCACAAATCCCAGGACCCCCCATATCATGCCAATGGTTCCTGGAGTTCCGTCTTCCCCCCCACTTCGCATATTTTGCTCTATTCTCCTGGGGATGGATCGTCGATTATTTGCGTCTGTGTTTTTGCCCCTCCTCAAAGTGAGCGGCCGACCCTGGGCGATCGACATGTTATCCATGCCCTGCTTGCCCTGGCGCCCAGTCGAGGGCGGCAGCAGCAAGTGTGGGTCAAGCGTCGATCGGTCGATCGCCAAGATCCCAGGCGCAGGGTGCCTGCGCCCTCCTGGCTTGGCCAGAAGGCGTAACGGCGGGTTCGTGTGGTGACAGACCCCGGCGATGGTCTCCGACACCGGGTGGGCCGCTCAGCCTCGACCGATTGGCCGCTTTCCCGCCGCCAGATCCCATCTTGGCCGATCCTGGGCCACTGGCGGCGTTCAACCATGAACGCCCACGGCGGGGCCGCTGCCGCGTCGGCACCACACGAACACACCTCGGCTGCCACGAAACGCAACACGCGACACGTAGCGCATGAATACAAAACTCAACACGTAAACCGAACGCGTAAATCTAACGCAATACGTTCACCAAAACGTACGCCAAGCCAACACGCAACGTATTGGCACGGGGGTTCTAAGCATGGTACGTGTTGCATCTCAAGACGGGCGCATCGAGGCAGCTGCAGAACCTGCTGTACACCGCCACCCTGGGCCAAGGTGCAGGAGAGCCCAGCATCGAGTCGATGAGTCGGATCGGCAAGCGACATGACTCGGAACGGCGGAAATTGGTAGCCAAACTGGGAACAGTCAAGACGAACCAGGACGAGGATAAAATCGGGTGGAGATGAATCGAGAATCTCTGAGATCCGGCCGCTCTGGAGGATATCTCGGGCGCCGCGGCCTTCTCAAAGCGTTCCAGAACGCTCTGAGAGCGCTCCAGAACGCTCTGGAACGGAGATCTCCTCGCCCGAGCCCCGCCCGAGAAGTCGAATCGGCGGAAATCGGAAGGCTAGCAGAGCCTCCACTGAGAAACTTTGGCGGCCTAGAAATTGGCACCAACATCAATACAGGGGGTTGCCTCCGCAGGGGGAAGATGATCCTAGATTTCGGTGTTGGTGGTAATAGTTTGGCCACCTTGGAAGCCAGAATATTACCACCATCACCGAGATCGGGATCGTCTTCCCTCGGTGGAGGCACACCGCCGATCTTGGTGTTGGTGTCAACTTCTGGGCCTGCGAAAACTGGAGGCCAGATCGGGATCCGAAGTCGAATCGCACCGGGGTCGGACCGAGGCGAAGTCGCACCGAACCCCGCCGGAGGAGCCGCGGTGAGCCCCCTCGGCGGGAGGCGCCTCGGCCGTCGGCGCCCGTTCGGCCGGCAGTGATTGATGGGACTGTTTTCCACCACCACCACCAGGAGTTGGAGGGGGGGGAGGAGGGGGGAGGAGGAGGAGGAGGAGGAGGGAGGAGGAGGAGGAGGAGAGGAGGAGGAGGGGGAGGAGGAGGAGGAGGAGGGGAGGAGGAGGAGGAGGAGGAGAGGAGGAGGAGGAGGAGAAGGAGGAGGAGAAGGGGAGGAGGGGAGGAGGAGGAGCAGGAGGAGGAGGAGGAGGAGGAGGAGGGAAGGAGGTGGAGGACGAGGAGGAGGAGGGGGAGGAGGAAGAGGAGGAGGATGAGGAGGAGGAGGACCCCTCCCCCTCCAACTTGTGGTGGTCCTGAAAAAACAGGCCCATCATCCATGGGCCTCTGGGGCACGCGCCCAGTGGCGCCAGCTTCCGCCCATGGTTGCGTGAGAATCCGTCCCTGACCAACTAAAAACGGACTGCCCATGTGGAACATCAACTGAAACTGACAACTGACAGCTCTACGTCGCTAAAAAGTGGTTCATTCTGAGCCACGTCTCAGTCGCAGAGCGTGGGGGGGGCTCTGGGAGAGGGCATGCCACTCCTTGACTCCTTGACAAAGACCTTGCCCATCATGCCACCAAACGTGTGGGGGCTGTGTCGACATTGGGGGTGGAGCCGCATGCGAACCCTGCCACTGGGGCCTTCGGCGGAGCTCCCTATGAGGCCACCAAACGTGTGAGAGGTGTGCCGAACTGGAGGTGGAACCGCATGCGAACCCTGCCACTGGGAGATATATGGAAATCCCTTTAAGGCCACAAAACGTGTGAGGAGCGTTCCGGAATTGGGGGTGGAGCCGCATGCGAACCCTGCCACTGGGGCCTTCGGCGGAGCTCCCTGTGGGCCACGAAACGTGTAAGAGGTGTGCCGAAATGGGGGTGGAACTGCATGCAACCCTGCCATTGGGGCCTTCGGTGGAGCTCCTTATGGGGCCACGAAACGTGTGAGGGGTGCAAGGGATGGGAGGAGGGAGGAGGGAGGGGGAGGAGGAGCGAGTGGGTGACGCAGGGCGCTGTCTCTTCAAAACAAAGACCCAACAACAGGTTGGTTAGTAAAAGCGCACGGAAATTACGGTTGCGTAGCACGCACCGCGTGAAATACTAGAGGCCTCCTAGATGTGGTCCGAATGTATGGGGTCGGAAGATCGCGCCGCATCGCCGACGCTGGTGTGGAGAGCATCGGACTCCACATCGAGCCGCGTCTCCGGCGAGGCGGCGCGACACTGCCTTCTTTGACCCCGTGTGGGAAGCATCGAACGGCGCGCGCGTCGTTGAGCGTCGCCCGCTCGCGGTCCGCCGCCCTGGGGCCCTCCTCGGACCCGAGGGCCCTGGGGCACCGCGGAAGGAGGAGGAGGAGGAGGAGGAGGAGGAGGAGGAGGAGGAGGAGGAGGAGGAGGAGGAGGAGGAGG